CTTGACGGCAGAGTTGAGTCTCTGTTGAGAAAGAGAGAGAGAGTTACGGTTGTTGGTGGTTGTTTTTTTTTGGTACAAGTTGTTGAAAAGCAAAAAAAAAAAAAAAATGATGCATAATTAACACGAGCAAACATCAAGCAAGTGAATCCAGCTTGTTTCACAATGCGGCTTCTTGAGCCGCTCCTAGACCACTCGTATCAAATGGGCATCTCCAGCGAGCATTTCGTTGTGAGCGACCGAGTACTTGAGCGTGGACAGTCCGTCGTTTTGCAGACTTGACGTGTCGCCGCGTTCGAGCTGCGTGATGCGACGCTCGCCTGTTCGGAAGTTTTCCATATCGCGCGTCGTGTGAAACTTTTCCGGCAACGAAAAGAAGACTCCTTGGCCAGGAGCAGCTCGGTTCATGGCTTCCGGATCACGCAGCAATCCATTGACGCGCAACCGGTAGAAATAGTCATCGTCTCTGCTCGTAGATTGCGCGGGAACAACAAAGCCAAAAGCAGCAAGCATTGTCAGTACGCCCAACATCTCTCTGTTCAAAGTTGCAATGCAAACAAACAAAACCAAAAAAAAAAAACAAAAAAAAAAACAACTTACTCAGAACCCCACCCAGAAAACGTGTTGCTAAACCCATCAACTTTGGCGTAGTCCTCATAGGTCGTCAATACGACACCGCCGGCGTACTTGGGATAGGGAGGCTCAAACCCAAATCGATCCAGCTCGGCAGATAGCTGCGTGGGCTTGGCCGGGATGTTGGACACGTACTGAACAGCGTCCGTTGGCAACATGTCCACGTCGTGGAAGGCAAGCACGCTCGCATCGAGTTGCTCGTGTGCCAGCTGTGCCCCAATGTTGAGCAGGCGCCCTCGATTGAACGGCGCGTCATCCCCTTGCTCAATCACCAGAAACCCGGCAAACCTGCAAATGGGCGTTCCGTTCGACACCTTGTCCGGATTTTCGCTGATGCGATGCCATTCGTTTCGCAGATGGTGACGCATCCATGGAAGAAACACTCGCAAGTGCTCATCGCGCTTCCGAAACGGAACAATGACTGCGAGCCGCGCTTCCGAGTTGGGACAAAACGGCGCCGTCGTTGACAGAATCGGCGCTGCATTCTCGAGTCTTACAATCTGCATGCATTTTGGTCAAAATGAGCTGCAAGTACATGTTCATGTACATGTTACAGGGGTAATAAATTTTGCATTTGGGCGAGCTTTTGGTCGGTTACATGCTCTGCGAACTTTTGCATGAGTTCTGACAGTCCTTCCGAGTGGCGATGGCATCGCGTGTGCTCTTCCTGTTGGATCTACAGCATGATTCAACGAGAGCAGCGTGAGTGCTTGGACGGGTCTGGACGTCAAACGCAGCATAGCCCGAGCCAGCCAAACCCGAACGAGCAGCGTTACCATCCACCAGGACTGAAGGCCATAGCAGGCGCCAAGCAACGCCAGGACGAGCAGGACACACACGACGATGCGCCGTCGATGCAACACGACGATGCTTGGCATCATGACATTCGTCGTATGGCCAAAGTAATGCAAAGTGACTGAGCCGCCAATTCCACTTTAAGCAAACAGAGATATGGAAAAGCATCATAACAAATCACGGTCGATAAGTATTGGAGAGCGATCATCATCATATTAAAACCCAATTTATTGAGCTCTCAGTGCTGGGACGAAACCTGCGAGGAAGACTCGCCGCCATTGGCGACAGCACTGCCGTCAAGCAACGCCACACAAGAAGGGCACGTGTGAAGGGTGTCATGGATGAAAATATCACAGTCGAGGCAGTAAACGTGGCAGCATGTTGGGCACTGGAATGCCGAGCGCATCGTGGCTGTGGGCTTTGAGCACCCGCGGCAGCTTGGGTGCAACGCGAGAGTGGTTGAGTTTGCAACCAATCCAGCAAGCAGTCCATTCGCGTCAGCAGGTGGGTGAGCAAGTGGGACCTCTCGGAACGGCGCAAGAGGAAACAGGTGGTGGTAGGAGCGAGCCAGATGCGGCGACGAGACGAGTGTCAGTCCGCAAACAGCGCACGTTGTTGGTAGTTCGCAGCACTTGGCTTTGCACTGTGGGCAAATATAGCCTCCAGCGCGGAATAGTTTGTGACTGGTGTGTGGGTAGTTTAGGAAGCAAAAAAAAAAAAAGGACGACAAAAGCTTAGGAACAAAAAGCAACTCAAACATGGACAGAGGCAGAGTGAACGTGGAACTCACCATGCGCATAATGTAGCAGCCTTGGACAGATTTTGCCGGGGAAAGCCCATTCGAATTAAAAGAGCCTCGGTTCGAGAAGAGGCAGGAGGAGGTGTAATGTGCTGGAAGAGCATGTCTCGGAAATGACTCTCGTCAATAATCACATTGTGCACACCTAAGAAAGCGCAATGAAATTTTCGGTGAGATCTTGGAGAACCAAGAGTTGTAGCGAAAAGCACACTGGGTCTCGAAAGCAAAAGCGCGAAAAAGTCACGATGATACCTTTCGTTTTTTCAGCCAGGTATTTGCAAATGCGAACTTCCGCCGACAAGCCAATCACAGAGCAATGTATGTTATCCAACTCTAGCAGTGAAATGGTCTGGAAAATGTCACCAGGATCGCAGGACGCAAGGCCACCCATGATGATGAGCACTTCTTTGCTGGTATGTGACGGCATGAGCCTGAAAATAAGTCAGCAGTCATGAAAGGAGGGGTAAGAAACGGGCGTAGATTGTAGCAAGAGCAGACCAAAGCGAGGAACGGGAGAAAGGGAGCAGAGCTTACCGAAGCGATTCGCGCGCGAGTTCAAGCGAATTTTGAAGTGAAATCTCTCCAGCCGTACTTGCTTTCTTCCGAAGGGACTCTAAGTGCTTGGCCGGATTTCCTACAAGCATGAAGAGTGAAGAGTGAAGAAAGGGGATGGAGCATGGACGTTCGAAATCCGCCAAAACACATTTTCGGACAAAAAGGACTTTTGGTAACCAACCTCCAAGCTCGGAAATGCGTTCAGCTTTGGCGTCTCGCGAAATGATGAAATTCAGCTGCGAGATGGGGTTTTGATCGAAGAACTCGGGGACGAACTGCTCCAAAAGCTGTTTGAACGAAAAAAAAAAAAACAACAAAAAAAGATGAAAGGAAGCGCGAGTGAGAACCATTTCCAAAAAGGCAGGCTCATCACCGAGGCCTGTGGAAGTATGCAGAATGCGCTTTTGCAATAATCTCCAATCATACTCGGATGGAGTGTTCGAGACGAGTGGGTTTCAGGTCTGGATCGTCCATTCTGCTTGACATGTCCAGGATGATGGTCAAGTGGCGCATCATGCCCCGTCGTACACCCTGAACCTGTGTCTTGAATCTGTTTCAGTGTTCCCCAAAGCAGCATGCAGAAGAAGGGGGGGGGGTCAAGCAGCAGCAGGTGAGCGTCGGAGAGCGTTCTGGAGCAGACGGAGTGAAGCCGTTCTCACCCCCCCTCTCCTCCTCTCCCATCTCAAACCCCCCTCAAGCCAATGCCATTGCAACTCTCTCTATAACAATGATCATCGCGTGAGTCGTGATGGTCGTTTTGTTACCTGCGACGTTTGGCGCGCTCGTGCTCCTCGACAGACGCCCGCAGCGATCCCTGCGCGTCCTCCTGCAGGACGTCCCTGTGCCATGACAATCAGACAAGTTGAGACCACACACAAGTCACCACACACACAGACAGACAGGCAGATCACTCGCTTCCCCAATGCGATTGCATGCAAACGCGACTTGTCGTTTGGTCGTCGCGCTGCTCCCTGTCTTGCCCCCCCCCCTCACCGTCTTCCCCGTCTCGTCTCATGGCTTTCAGTACTGCATTGGATTCAGCATTGTACTGGCTTTGGCTTTTGGGTTTTTTGGGTTTTGGGGCTTTGGGGCTTTTACCAGGTGCGCTCGTATTGCTGCTCCCAGACGTAGCCCTTGTTGTTCATGTCGTCGTCCTCGTCGACAGCGACCTGCGCACTGCGACGCTGCAGCTGGCTCATGGCTCTCTATTGAAAATGAAAAAAGAAAAATAAAAAATGACTGAGCTCACACTCAGCATGATCGACTTTGTCAAATGTCTGAGAGTTTTCGGTCTACAAAGCCATTCACACTCTCTCATCTCTCTCACTCACTCGCACTCTCGCTCTGGCGTTTTTGTCCTATAACTTGGTGGATCCACATGCTGATCGACCTCATACCCAACGTTACTGACAGTGGGTGAGCTCTTGTCCCCCCTTTGTGTTCTCCAATTCTCAACCAAACAGCTTCATCCACTTTTTTTTGTTCAGTGCCGTGATTCCTCTATGTTTGAGTAACTATTATATTGTTACTATTGTTCAGTCCACATCTGTGTTTGCTGCTGACGATGAGCTGGTCGCCGGCTGAAGGACAGCCGCAGCAGCAGCAGAGATGGCTGCCTCCCTCCGCCGGACAACCGCAGTATCAGCCTCAATCTTATCAGCAGCATCCTCAGCAGCATCCTCAGCAGCATCCTCAGCAGCAGCAGCAGCAACAGTATGGCGTGGATGCGGCGCGATCACCTTCATCCTATGCCCAGCATCCTGACTCGACATTGGCGACTGGGTCGGACGCCAGCAACACTGCCGCGTTCACTGCACCCCAGCAGTATCAGCATCAGCAGTATCAGCAGTATCAGCAGCATCCGCAGTATCAGCAGAATCCGCAGCACCAGACTGCGCCAGGTCAGCAGCAACTCAGTCCGCCTGCGTCCTCGTACTCCCCTCATCCACAGCAGCAGCAGCAGCAGCAGCAGCAGGCGTCGTTCTCGTCGTTCGATGCGTCGTACAATCCATACGGCAGCAGCATGGGCAGCAGTGCGGTGCAGTCGTCGTCGGGCTCGATGCCAAGCTGGGCAGGCACGACTCGTATGCGATCCACCCAGCCAAGCCAGCAGCAGCAGCAGCAGCAGCAACAACAACAGCAGCAACATCAGCAGCAACAAGCATATGCTCAGCAACAGCAGTACAGCCAACAGCAGTTCAACCCGCAGTACAATCAGCAGCAGCTGCAGCAGCAGCAGCAGTTTGGCTACAATCCCCGATCGTCGTCCTCTGCGTATGCCAATTCTGTCTATGGTGGCAACAGCCAAGGCTTTGGATTTGGCAGCTCGAGTCATAGCTCGAACAGCTCAGGCGGCATTGGGCGCAGGCGTGGAAGCTCGGATGGTCTGCTCCCCAGCGTTGGCGGCGGACAAGCCGGTGGCGGATTCGGATTGCGCTCCAAGACGGCCAACAGGCGACTCTTCATGGTGCTAGGCATGCTGGCGTTCATGTGCGTTGTCGGACTGTACTGGATGCTCAGTCAGGTCGAATCGGACTTGCAGGCTGGAATCCAACTGCCGCCAAACCAGCACGGGCGACTGCCAATCGCAGGTCCGGTCGGCGGTGATGACGACGACGAGCGCCACCTTCCAAAGGAACCGCCGGTAAAGGGAAATCCAAACAACTTGGACAACAATGGAATACCAGCACTCAACAGGCCTCAGCACCCGGGTCTGAACGGTCCGCCGGTTGACGTCGCCGCTGCTCGCATGGCGCGCCGGGCAGAGATGGAGCGCCGCCGTCTCGACAACGACCGCATCCGACAGGAGGCCATGGAAAATCAAGAAGCTGATCTCGGTGGTGATGGTGGTGGTGCTGCTGGTGCTGGCGAGGACGGACTGGACAACAACAACAACAACAACAATATCAACAACATTGCAGACAACAACCCGCCACAGAAAGGCCGGGCAAAGCTTCGCCGAGCTGATGCTCTTTCCGAGCAAGACGTCGAGCAACTGGCTCGAGAGCGCCAGCGCCATCTCCAGCCAAATCTCTTGGGCGAAGCCGAGGAGGGCGACCTGCAGGCCAACCCGGAATTGGCGGTCGCACAGCAGGAGCCGCCCCAGCATGCCAACGAAGATCGCCACGAAATGCACCACGTGTTGCAGCCAGAGATGGCCGGAGACGAGTTTCGCCGCCGTCAGCGGGGCGTGCAACCGGACTTGCTGTCCGTCTACACGACTGGCGCCACGTTTGCCTGCTTGAAACCCGCCCCCAGCGACCGGGAGCTGCCACAAACAGCCATCAACGACGAGTTTTGCGATTGCGCCGACGGAAGCGATGAGCCTGGCACGTCCGCGTGCTCGAACGGCGAATTCTACTGCGTGGAGAACGAAATGCTCATTGCCTCGTCGCGTGTGAACGACGGCATTTGCGACTGCTGTGACGGCTCTGACGAGTACTCTTCGCTGCTCCTGGATCCGAGCGGCCTTGCGCCCGCTGACGTGCCTCGCCGATGCAGCAACACCTGTTCTGCCTTGGCTGCTGCGCGAGACGAGCGACGGCGGTTGCGTGAGCGCGCGATTGCTGTCAAGCACGAGTACGAGCAGCAGGCACGACAGGCCTTTTCTGCAGCACAAGTCGCCAAGCTGCAGGTCGTCCCGGGCGACCAACAGCAGCACGAGGGAGGCCCCGACAAACGCGGGGACGCTGCGCCAGTTCCTGCGTTCCCAGCCATCCTGGAACATTCCGAGCCATTGTTTGCATTCTTTGTGCCTGCCTCTCGCGAGTTTTCCATTTCCAACGGCCAGTACACGTACACTGTCAAGCTCTTTGAGGAAGTTCTCCAGCACAGCCAGTCCGGCAGCCGTGTGACTCTTGGTCGAACGGTCGAATGGAAAGAGCCGGGCCGTGTTCTTCGAGTCACAGGCGGCGACATGTGCCCCAACTCTGTTGCTCGCTCCGTGACGGTCAACTTTACCTGCTCGGACGAGGATCGCATTGTCAGCATTGCCGAGGACGAGCGCTGTCTCTACGTGATGGAGTTTGCAACCCCTGCCGCTTGTTGATTTGGTCTTTTTGTCATTGTTGTGTACCACGCATCCGGATGTGTGCGTGTACCATTGCGAGTTTTTGTACCAAGACAACACATTTCGTTTTGTTTTTTTCAATGGAACCAGCGGCGTCAAAACAGTGCAATCAATACACTTCATGTACAAGAACAATATGGCATGAACAACAGTTTAAGATGGAAGAACGCAACAGGGAGTACAACTACAGACTTTTCACTTCGTTGTGCTTGGAGCTTGATTTTCGAATCACCAAGTCCACTCGACCCACAATCGCGCGAATGTGCTGCGTCACAACAGATTGAGGCTGATTTGCGACGACCAGCCCATTCACGTTCTCGAGGATGTCGCCAACGTCGATGGCATTCTGCAATCAAATGAGCGTGACGAGGAAATGAAAAATGAGGGCCATCACGGGGAGGACGACAAAAACAAACCAACAAACAAACAAACAAACAAACAAAAAAAAAAAACCAAACAGCAACATTTAATCACTCCTTTTACCTTCTCCCCTTCTCCGCAACCCTCCCCTCCATTTCCAAACATCTTCCCCTTCCTCCACTCCCTGAGCCCAAGCCTTACCGAATTCGCCGCTGGACTGCCGGGCTTGACACCAACGATTGTGATGTGCTCGCCAGATTGTAGAATGTCAATTCCAAGACCAAATTCCGGACTCTTGATAAAGGTGACGTGCCGCATGATTGGCAAGGTCCAGGTGTCGTCGAGGGAGGTCGTGTTTGAGAGATCGAGCTGAAAGTCGATGGCGGTGATTTCGTAGAGGGTGGCAATCAATTCTTGGATGTGTTTTGGGTGCCCAAGAATGGAATCCTCCTTTGAGTACCACGCTTCACGCAGCTTCTTGTTGCGGGAGAGTTGCTGCAGCGGGACGGTAAGGACTTTGCTGGTGAGGGCCATGCGAATGAATTGTCGCCCGCGGCCTTGGGGCGTCTGCAGGGATGGCGTTCTGCTCGAGATGGTCGACACAATGCCGTTCATGATTGGGTTGATGGTGGGAATTTCCTTGGGCTTTGAGTTGCTGGAAGGCCACAGGGTGATTGAAATGTTGTCCGCCGCGGGCGAGGAGCTTTCGTTGGGAAGTGGTGTATGCGGCGCCACCAGCTCTGTGATCCAATCCCAGTAGTCGTACTTGACAGACGAAAACATGACGGTGGCTAAAGTATGTTTTGTTCGGAGGCAAGCAAAAAGCAGAAACCAAAAGAGAGAGAGAGAGAGAGAAGACAGCAGCAAAAAAAAAAAAAGTGAACGACACTGGCATGCTTGACTTGTCAGGCTGAGACAACTTACATTTCAATCCGAGTCTCAAACATGCTTCTAGACTAGAGCAGAAGGTTTCCAACAAGTGATGCTCATCCGAGATGAATCGGGTCTCTGAGCCTGGCTCTTCCGACACTTCTGCCAAAGTTGTCGAATCGTTGGCCGACAGCAACATTGGACTCGTCCAATCACCCTCTTCCGTCGCGACGAGCGAAGTGCGCCGCTCCTCTGTCTTTGGCTTTGAAGGTGTTCCGACCCACGGAAGCTGCTTTGGCTCCACCGTGCGAATCAGCAATGACTTGTCGGCGGTGGTGGATCCTGATTTGGAATAGTGCTCCAACTCGTCCACCGCGTCTAAACAAAAAATCCAACCCAATAGCAAAGACGTCAGATCACAAAAAGAGCGTGAATCACCATCGCATTTTGTATACAGTTGGCCGACTCTTGCTCTCAGAGTCTCTGTAGTCATGTGAAGAAGGGAAGGGGTGGCTCATCGTTCAATCTTACCTTTGAGCGCCATGAGCAGGTCGCGGCAAGGGTCTGGCTCTGGCTCGTACGCCGCAGGTCGCGTGATGAGCGACGTTGCTGCAACAGCATGAGCACCATCATCCGCAGAAGGAGCGCCGTCCGACGACGCAGACGCAGCAGAGGTGACTTGCAGATGATGATGCACAGCACCCCAGCGATCCGACAGCAGATCAGCCACGACGGGGTCCATTCTTGAGAGGGGGGTCGGTCCGACGACTTTTGTGCAAGTGGTGAAGGTGTGTGAACGAACACTAGTTGATCGAGAGCTTGTGAGCTAAAGTTGAGTTGGGAAGCGCTTTGTTGGTTGAGCTGGTTGAAGGAAAATGGAGAGTGTCACACTCAATTTTGGGGTTTCAAGATGGAAGAATTGAAGGAAGCAGCAACGAAGACAAGTGATGGGGAGCGGAGGGGGGGGGGAAAGTAAGAGCATTCAATAAGAGCCAACTTCAAAGAAATGCAAACTGAGCGTCGGGTTGCAGATAGGAAGAAAAGAAGAAGAGGCAAAAAAAAAAAAAAAAAAAAAAATGGTGGGAATTGGAAGTTGCATGATCTTCCAATTGACAGTCCGCTCCGTTTTGTTCACCGACTGTGGGCATGACTGCAGAGCACGATTTTGCAAATAGGTTGATCTGAGAGTGATGCTGTTGTCAGGCTTCTTCTTTTGTTGATTCAACGCTCTTTGCTGCAAAGCTGTCCTACAAGAGCATGACTGAGAGACAACGCGAGTTGTATGTCAGAGTTAAGAATGCGAGTGTAGACCTCCAGTAAGAAGAAAGCCAGGTTGATTGGAACATCACAGTGTGACAGCCCTTGTACTGACAAGATGGTGGACAGTCTGCACCAGAATCAGCTTGGCGACGCAGGAACGATCTTCAAATTGACAGTCACAAGGTAGCCGAAAGCAACAACCACAAAATCAAGCACCAAAAAACAGGAACGATGGTCCTCCACGCCTGAATGAAGAGTAAACCTGGTCAGTTGCTGGGCTTTTTGTTCAGAAACATGTCTCGGAAGGCTGAATTTGACTTTGGAGCGGTGGTGGAGGCGGAGCTTGCGGCAGCTGGTTGTGCCGGGGCAGTATCCATGGCAGTTGCAGTTGAGGCAGGACTCGAGGACGCTGCAGGTCCTGACAGGTCGGCGGCGGGTTTCTTGGCGGAAGAGAATCCCAAACCAAGGCGACGCGAGGGTGCGGCATGGAGAGAGCGCGGCACAAAGCTCTTTGTGGTTGCAGTGCTGGCGGGCCGCTTGCTAAAGGTGTCTGGGCGTGCAGTCCCAAAGCTGGACGGAGGTGGCATGGCGTGCGAGTCTGCGTTGTCTTGAGCGGGCGTTTCGGAAGCCGCAGCTTTGGTTGGCGGGTTGCACACCTGAGCGCTGATGGGCTGACCACGCACAACAGTGCCATCGGCAGCCAAAGCCAGTTTTGCATCCTCCTGAAATGATACACGGGGAAAAACAGGGGGCAGCACAATGAGCAAAAGCTGGAAATCCATCCTTTTTTTTTTTTTTTAAAAAAAAGCATCCGCCGCCACCACGATAGAGTTACCTCGTTGGCGAATTCTACATATGCGCGACCGGTGAATCGGCCATCTCGATGACGAGTCATTCGGACGTCCACCACTTTGGCAAACTGCAAAACGAGGTGTGCAAGATGGTCAGAAATTTCAATGTAGTAGTTTTCTCTCGCTCCTGTGCGACGTACCTTTTCAAAAGTCGTAACCAAGTCGTCGCGACGACACAAGGATGAGAGGTTGCGAACAAAAAGAGTCTTTGGATCCACGCCATCCTGTGCGTATCGAGACGGGGCAGGTCCGTCACCGTCTTTCGGCTTGTCGACGGACGGCGACACGTACATTGGGCGATTCAGAACAGGCTGGCGATCCAATGCAAGAGCTTTCTGAGCGGCTTCCTGCAAGGCGAAGATCGCACAGCCACGAGGAGAATTAGCAAGTGCATTCGAGAAAATGAAACGGTTGCCAAAGCATTCAGAAAATGGTGTTCTGAAACGTACAGGACTGCTAAACTCGACAAATCCATACCCACGCGAGCGACCAGTTGGCTTGCGCACGAGCCTCACGTCGACAATGTTACCAATCTGCACAGGCGTTCAACCGTGAGCTCACCAAGCTTTTCATGACGATAGGATTTCTTGAAAGCGTACCTGTTCAAACTGGCTGCGAATCATCTCCTCAGTCGCTTTAAAGTCCAGATTGGAGACAAAGACGGTCACTGGATCTTTCGAGCTGAGCAACAAAGAGGTCGAGTGAGCGTGCCGGCAAACAAAAAAGAAGCAAAAATCAGCCTACAAGTCCTTACACATCATGCGCATGCTTTTCAGGAAGAGTGAAACGTGGAGCCTGAGCATCGTCCGAGTCTAACAGACAAGCAACACGCTCCCATCAGGTGAGAATAGAAAGATAACAACAACAAGCAAAACAAACAAAACAAACAAACAAACAAACAAAACAAACAAACAAACAAACAAACAAACAAACAAACAAACAAACAAACAAACAAACAAACAAACAAACAAAAAAAACAAAAAAAAAAACAAAAAAAAAGCGCTGTCAATCTCCACCGACTCACCACGTTGCCGCTTGACTCGAGCATCACTCAGAAGAGCCGTGAGCCCATTGTCCTCAGCACCGCCATCTACACGGCGCTTTTCGCGCTTTTCCGCACTCTGCTGCAACTTGCGCCCCTCACGCAATTGTTGCTGTTGGAGCTGACGAGCCAGTCGAATGTTGAACTTAGAGCGCAGGGTGTCACAACGCTGCACCACATGAGCAAAGGCATCGGCAGAGGGCGATTCTTCTCGTTCAAACTCGTGCCAGGCGGATAAAAGCTGGTTGGGGTCGTCCAACGTGTCTCGTTGCAAACCGCGCTGGTAGGCCTCGCGAGCAGACTGGCTGTTCTTGGCCTGAGTTCGCTCAAAGTTGGCGTATGCAATCCACATGGCAGCGGAATACGCGCAGTTGGAGGTCTTCATGATCGCCTTCCACAGTTTTCGTGCTTCGGTCAAGTTGCCCAGACGATAGAGCTGAATGTTGATTTGGTACTGCAGCAAGGAGCAGTACGGGTCGCCGTTCTCGCCAAAGTACTGCTGCAGATACGCGGAGGCCCTCTCAAACGTGCGGAAGAGCTTGGACACGGCGGGAGGCAGCCCATCGTCTGCAGCAGCCGCTTGCGTCGAGGTAGTCCATCCGCCACGTCCGCGCCCTGCATAGGCAGGTGTGCTGCTTGTGACTTCTGGCTGAGCAGCGTCGCTGGCTGATTGTTGCGGCTGGATTCCATCCGCGCGCAGCTTGTCCCAGACCTCTGGCGTAATCTGGCGTCGCACAATGTCAATGAAGCAACGCCAGAGCTCGAGATAGTCACCGGGCGTGGAAAATCCGGCCAGGAGAGCCGATTCCAGCGCTTCCTCCACAAGAGCAATGTTGGAGTGCGATCGCTCCAACCAAAGCATGCGCGTTACCCAAAGACCAGAAATCCACGGACAGTTTCTCAACGCACGAGAAACGATCTGTTCCACGGCTTCGGGCTGTAACAATACAGGAAAAAAAGAGAAATGTGACGTTGTTAGGGCGATGTGAATCACGAATCGACAGACAAACGCCGCACACCTTACCTGCAGATGCTTGGTCGCATAATCCAAATAAAGCTGCCACAGATCACCGACCAGACAATTATCCTTGATGGCACGCTCGAAGAGAACAACCACTTGCTCTGGCTTGCCGGCATCAATCTCGTGCTGCAGGTAATTGGAGTACTCGGCGAGATGGGGAAACTCCGAATCTACCAAGCTTTGCTCGTAGGGGGTAATCTGTGCGACTTTGTTCTGGGATTCTGCAAGAGCTTGCAAGACGGCGGGATCCAAGCCCCCAGCGTCGCGCTTGGCGTTTGCAAACACGGAAACGTCGTCCATATCGTCGAGGTTGTTGTCTTCCAGAAAGGTGACGTACTCTGCACAAAGGGCAGTGTCGACGCCTGCAATAGGAAGCGCGATGAGACGCTTGAACAGTGTAGAAATCCTTTCTGTTTGTTCAGTGCTACAGAAATGCAGGGGCAGTCAGTCAGTCAGTCAGCGGGAGAAAGACTGTCGAGATCAAACAATCATGGGAGAGCGGACTCACATTGCCTCCTCTTCGGTGTCATCCGATTTCTGCCCAAACGAAGGAATGGATATTATAAGGATGCCTTGTTAGCAAATTTGACAACTACAAGAGCCAGAGGACAAAAAGAAAGTCTTCGAAGCGTTTTTTGCAACCTTACCTCAAGCTCGTCAAGAATATAGCTTTCAAAAGAAATGTAGCCATCCCACAGCAGCTTCCCCTAAAACATTCACGATATGGGCAACCTTGTGAGTGAGCGCGCTGGCTGGCTTGAGCAAGGAATCAGCGGTTCGCTGAACATACAGTGACAAAGTGACGACCGGCGACTTTGAGTCCCTCTTCAAACACGGTCCTTGCATGGGCCAGTTGATTCGCTTCGGGTAGACCATCAAGGTGGAGAGAAGCGACAGTGTATTGGACGCGACGACGGACAATCGGGACGGCTGAACGCAAAATGGGACAATAAGGCATGATGGTTGAGGTCAGCTCATCAGCAAATATGCAGTAGAAAGGCACCTACAACCCCATAACAGTATCCATTCAACCGTCGTGCTTCGCTGCTCGAGTGCTTACACAAGTAATCGTTCGAAGAGAGCTCAAAGAGCCGATTCACCCGCGAATGTGCAGCCGCAGCTCCGTCCGACTCGGGCCTCAGTGTTTCGGCGTTACGAATTTCATCATTGATCCATGCCAGCCACAAATCTGATCATCCATACAGATAGGATATGACAAGTGAGTGCAAACTGAAAAAAACCGATTCAGCAATGCATTGACCACGACGACGATGATGGACGGCGACGCACCTTCGCTGAGCGGGAACGTCTCACGCATACGCTCTCGTGCATGCAGCAGCTGCTCTGCGAACGCAGTGGCTTCCGAGCTCGAGGACGCGGACGCGCTCGACGGCGACGACGCTGCATCGACTGCTGAACTCGCAGCAGCAACGGCGTCACGCAGCGCGCCAATCAGAGCGACATGCGAGTCGTAGTGGAATGGATTTGCCTTGATCTGCTCGGAATCAGCATTGGTGTGGAGAACCAATATGCAGTGAGGGAGTTGAATGGAGAGTGAGATTGAGATTCAAGGCCTCACTCAGCGTCGTAACGTCCAGCTGATGATGGACGAGATCAGAGAAGCATCCAAGAGATGGGGGTTTACCTGCTCACGAAGCTCGGCGATCTGGTCTTGGAGCTCGGCCAAATCGGTCATTTCGAAGGAAAGCAAAACCTGAGACTGTGACTGAGACTGAGCCGGATTCGGATGGATCTGGGGAAATAAGTGTACATTATTTTGCGGAGTGGAATTAACAACACATACAGGACAAACGAACAAGAGCGACGGTGATAAAAAGCCATTCAAAAGCAAAAAAACGAGAAAACAAAAAAAAAAAAGCAGACGAAAGAGAGGACCAAAGAGCAGGAATGGGGAGAACTGGTGAGGCCATCGGGAGCAAGAATCGAGAGTACCAAAAATGGATCCAGGATTGCACACTGAATCCACAAGGATGGACAGAGGTGAAGCCGACGAAAGAGACCTTTTGAGAACAGAGCTTTGAACCCAAAGCCTTGGCTCGTGTTGGCGCTGTCACCATGAGACCAATCGCCAGCTGTGCATGCTCCGTGACATCCGACAAGTACAATAATCCCTATTTGAGCCACAACGGAGCGCCTTTGATGATGAAGGTGGAGCGATTCCGTTCTCCAGTTGAACAGTTCGGTTGAAATCCGCCTTGTTCTGTTTTTGTTTGTTTTTTGCTTGTTGTAGATGAATGTGACCCAATGATCACATGCCTGTTGTGAACAGGAATCCCGTGTCTGGGTCGACAAACTTTGGGACTGGCTTCTCGACCTTGACCACCATGAAGTGCTTTCGCTTTGAGATTGGGTGGCAGTCCTGGATGCGGACGACGTCGCCCACAAAGCAGACCTGCTCTTCGTCGTGTGCAAGGAAGTTCTTTTCGTGCTTGAGCACCTGTTTCAACACACACACAGCGCAGGGGACAGGCACGGAGCAGTGAGTGCAAATGCAACTGCAATGGAAAAGCAGTCAGGGCGACCATTGAGATGATCGTCCTGCCTCCTTTCCCCCACCCCCGCCTCAATGCATGCTCGTCAAATCGCATGCACCGATCAGAGTGGAAAGCAGGGCAGCTCACGGACAGCAGCATGGACTGGAAATGCAGAGATCTCAAAACCCTTTGTTCCTCGTGCTCCTCACTCTCCTCACTCTACCCCCTACTCGACTCACAGTCCCTCCCCTCCCAATTCATGCTTGCTCTTGTGCTGCCGCTTGGTCCAAAAGCGGGCGGGATTCGACGGGTGTTGGTTACCTTGCCATCTACGTAAGGGTGCTTTGTGTAGCGCACAACAGCCACTTTGACAGTCTTTCGCATTAGGTTGGAAACGACTCGTCCGACAAGTTGCATCTTGTGCGTGCGTGAGTGTGTGTGTTAGGAAAAAAAAAATGACTGGAGATTCATACAACGAAAAATGAAAGGAATGGACGGTCTTTTGTAGAGAACGATTGGTTTGTATTGAGTGTGAAAAAAATGAATGTCGGATGAGTGCCGCTAGTTCATGCTGCCTCGGCAAGAGCGCGTCCCGCAGTAGCACGGAATCTTGACATCCTCAATGGGCATCTTGTAGTCAACGGTGAGCTCTTCGCCTTCCAGCACGACGCGAGACGCAAAGTAAATGATGCGTTTGACGCCGTCCGGATTGACAATTCGCGTGTAGCAATTGGGCTGTGTGGCGAGGAAACAAACAAAAGATCAAGCCCAAGGAGAACAAGCAAGCAGATACACAAACCACAAAACCCCTCAGAGGGATCGGTGAGTACAAGCAACATGATTTCCCCTTTTCCTCACAACTGATTGGACAACGCCCCCCTCCCCCTACCTCGCATGAATGGTTCATGAAGCGCGCTTGGTTGGCTTTCATCGTGGCGTCGATAATGTAGTCATCATCGATGCGGAACATGTAGCAGCCAATGCCACGCGCATCGTACATGCGCTCGCGATAGTCGGTCAGAATGTCGCGAATGCGTTCGCCCATGTACTCGACCACCATGCTGTCCTTTTCAAGCCGACGAGCGGCATACAGCCCGCAGCCGTGGATCGGAGAGCGCCGGACCACACTATAGGTGCGGTAATTGTCTCTGAGAACGCGGTACTGCATGGCCATTGGCATTTGGATGCTTTGGGTGGCCTCCGGATCCAGACTGGCCTCCTGCGCAGCGGCAGCGGCTGCGGCAGCCACGCCCGCCGCATTCAACGCTGCGGATACCGACGAGCCGGTCTGGGAGTCGCCGCCAGTGCGAACAGCGCTGCGCCGAATCGTTGGCGCTCGCGGTTTTGCTCCCACGCTGACGCTGGCCAGCGAAGGGTCTAGCGTGGCCATGCTACGCACCAAGAGCGAGCCTGGCTTGGTGGCGGATGCCTTCCGCTCCACTGGAGGGACCATAAAGTGGAAGCGATCCCGTTGAATGGGCTCCGTGTACACGGCGCAGCGTGACGCATGAGCGCACAGACGCTCGACATTCTTGGGCAGTAAGTGGCGCTCTGGAATCATGTTGAGCAACGAGGCGGTGCGCGGAGGAGGGGCTGGACTGCTCATGCGGAACGAGTAGCAAGGCCAGTCGAGCTGGTACGCGGCCAGCCCGCTTGTCGAGCTTTTCAGTCGACTCACTGCGTCGCCACACAAATGAGCATCGGGAAGAGCTTCCAAACGCTCAATGACGTAGCCAAATGTCAATCCGAACAAACTGTGGCCAGTGTCTGGCCGTATCTTGAAGTGCGGTCGCATTCGTTCGATGGCACAGAGGTATGGGCCCCATGCGGCTGTACAAGCAAATTGGCAAACAATACAAGACTGTTAGAAACACGCAACAAACTCCTCTTCCAATGATCCGAAGAAGCAACATCGACTGGAAGACACCACGAGCTCCAACTCACATTCTGGGTCTCTCCCTTCGTGAATGGTGCGAGTCGTGATGCAAGTGACGCGAAACACGAGCGATGGAGAAACAACTGGATTCGGAGACGAGATGGGTTGCTGTTGGTGGGCATGCGCCAAGCCTTCGCGATGCACAACAACCGTTTCGACAATCTCGCAAAGGTAGAGCGCCCTGGAGACCTCAAACGGGTGGAAGAAGAGGCGCGTCGAGACAAATCCAGGACAGTAGAGGCTGGTTGGAGGACTGAACCTCATTGAGGCGACAGAAATGGTGCCAAAGCTGCGGACATTCAAGGTGCCGCTTCGGGCAACTGACCGCTGCGAGGCAGGAATCTGGTTCCAAAAGTTCCGTCGAGAGGGCCAGGTCGCGGATTCTGCCCTGCCCACCTGGACTGCCTCAGTCAAGTCTTGGCCAAACTGGTCGGCTGCTTCGTGGCTGTGTGGGCTGCTGAGCCGGTCGAGGAGCTCGTCTCGAAGCGTTTCCTCCAGTTTGTCACTCAAGTCTGAATGGCACTCGGCAAGTGCGGTACTCATATCAACGACGGCGCGGACGTCTTTTTGAAGCGTACGCGAAGCCACTGCGTCAGTCAGTAAAGAGACGCACTGCAAGGGAATGCTAAAGGTGGTGACTGGACGGTCGGTCTGTTTTCCGCTTTCGCCAGCTGCCAGCATGTCCAACGGAGCGTGCGACGAGTGCGTTCCTGGAGAAGGATTTGGCGGCATGGTGCCACAGTGGTTGGGACAAAGCAGCGTTTTTGAGGTCAGCAACACGCAACCACGAGCGTGTCGAGCGCAGGGGAAGTGGTAATTCAGCTGGCATCGCGGCTTTGCACAGCCAATGGTAGCACCTGTTTTGCCGCAGTGATGGCATTTCTGCGGGAGGGGGTGGGGATTAGAGTGCCAGCGCCGACACCAAGAAGAGCAGTTCAAAACAAAAACACACACACACACAAAAAAAAAAGGCGAATGAGACCCATGAGCGAAGCCTCCACGCACAGCAACGCACGCATACGTTAACAGGTTGGCCATACCATTGCGCGAGACCGGCTCAGTGCAGCAGTCACGCCGTCCAAATGCCCATCGTCCAGACACGAGACTTCCGACGACCAAATGGCGCAGTTGAGATGAGCCCACCCCAGGTCGCCCACGGACAAGAGTCGTCCAGATTCTTCTGGGGGCGAATCGCCAGCAACAGAACATAGAGAACAGTGGCGGGGATCTTCAACAGCCGTCGGCATGCTGTCATTAAAATCAGTGGGATGAGCAGGAGTGATGAAGATTCGTGTATCAACGTCTGGATCGAAAGTGTCAAGAACAAGAAACTCGAGGGGCGCTTCTTCGTCCATGGGGTGAGTTGTGGTGGCTACCGTGGCTGCCGTCGAGGAATTTGGTGCGTCCTGGACCATTGTTGACTCGGCGTCCAAAATGGCTTCCTCAGCAGGCGCAGGAGCGACTGTGTCAGCAGGCGTCGGAGCAGCTGTGTTCGGGGTCTCGTCAATGTCCATTGGAGTTGCGTCATTGCTGGGTTCCTCGCCAGTACTGCTTGGTTCCACGGCCGCATTGGAGCCAGCATCGACTTCTTGAGAGCTTTTTTGCCCAGAGCGGGAGGAACGCGTAACCCGTGCTGGTGTCGTGGCAGTTTCAGGTTGTCGTTTGGGTGCCTTGGGAGTGGTAGAAGACGCCTTGGGAGAGGGGGTGACCTTTGGTGCCTTGGACGCAAGAGAAGGCGCTCCAATTGGCTGCTTCTCCATGGACCTGCGAATGAGCTCTTCGACTGTGATGGGTCTGCTGGCGACAAACAGCTTCTGGAATTTGCCAAGGAAGTTCCTTCGAATTTCAAGCGCCTGGCCAGCTTCGGGACTTTTAGGGCCATAGTATCGGAGGGCGTTGATGACAATTTGAGTAACGTCCTCCAGCATTTCAGTCGAGATGACATAAATGTAACGCTCAATGCGCAACCGCACAATTTCAAGCGACATTGGAGTCTTGATGCTCTTGTAGTAGTCAGGGAGCGAGCTGCGACTGGGCAAGTGCAGGAATGGAGTTGCTGCGGATGTTTTGGTAATCACAGCATACAAGCTGCGCAACCGGCTATAGACCTCTTCGATTTCGGAATCCTAATGCAATTTCAAAGCGGCCAGTTTCAATCAGAGGTTAGACTCATCATGACACCAAATCCTCACCATTCGCTTGTTGTTGGTTGTTTTAGCTTTGTCCCCCACCAAACAAACAACAACCTACCTTGTCAAATCCTTCAAATTCAGCATTAGACTCGAGTCCAAAAATCATGCTGGTCGAGTCGTTGGCAGAAATGAAGGCTGCGCGAGGGGCGAGGGCATCGGCGTCCGTGGAAGCGGTGGAGCCCTTGCCGGAAAGACTGTGCACGCAGCTGGGACAGGTGAATGCCAGGTTCTCGTCGTTGGAGTACATCTCGTACGTCTCTTCGTCCATGCCGACACAGTGCGTGTGAAGCCACATGCTACATTGCTCACAGCTGATCATTGGGGTGTCGTAGTCGTCGTCCTCGTAGACTTTCTCGCAGACGCGACAATAATTGCCTCGAGCTTTCAGCAAGCCGCAGGGCTGACACAGCGAGTAGTCAAACATCCACTCACACGGCTGGGAGGACGGAAAGGACGACGGCAGCCGCGTCTTGCCCATGCCACGAGGTGTTTGAGCCCCGCACGAGTCGCATTTGACGCATTGCGAACAAAGCCATCGTCCAGACGGGACCTCGGCCAATGGAATGTCCATGCAGCCCAGATGTCGACCAACAGCACAGTTGTCACACACAACCAACGTCTCTTCGGGGAAGGACGAATTGCATGTGGTGCAGACAATGCAGTCCCAGCACTTCCACGAACCTTGGGCAATCTCTTTCAGCGTACTCTCATAAGCATCTCCAAACGAGGACTTGACGCAAAAATCGTGGTAGGGCTGGCAACACTGGTTGCACCAGTGCATGCCGGAGGTCTCCTCGTCAGTACCGCGAGTGCCACAGCCGCGACAGAGCGGGAGGGCCAGTAGCGCTTCACCCAAATCAGTCACGGTCACCCACATGCCGTTTTGATCGATTCCGCGGACTCGCATAGCGTCTGCTTGTTCTTGATCCGAAGGCGGCGTCACGGTTTGGCTCGACGACGAGGCCGCACCGCCATTACCTTGCGTGATCGTACTGCTGGTCGTGGTTCGCAGCGATGAATTTGACCGGCTTTTGTTGCGTGATCCCTGCGGGCCGGCACTCTCGGCTCGTTTGATGTACATTTCTCGATAAATGTTCAAGACCATGCCTTTGGCAGACACGCGAGACCACATGCTGGGTCGCTGCTCCTTTGTGTACACTGTTGCGAGCCAGGCTTGCGCACTTGCGTATGGCTTGCCTTCCGGTTGACTGACAACACTCGAATCGGCCTGGAGCAGACATTGTGCACTGCCGGAGCTGAGCACCGTGCCAGGTTTGAGCAGGCCGGCGTCGATCAAGTCGGAAAGAGTGATTTGAATCCGGTCCTTGCGTTCTAGGCGTTGTGGCGCACGCGGCTTGGGAGGAGCCGCCTGGAAAGTTGGTGTCGCAACAGAAGGCGAGGCGGAAGAGTTGACAGCCATCCCACCTCGAGGAAGAGCAGACTGGGGAAACGGCGATTGAGTCAAGGCAGCTTGAGGCAAGGTGGATGATTGGAGCGAGCTCGAATGAGAAACGGTGGGCTGGGCAATGCCTGGCAGCCTCGCTTGCTGTGCCTGTGCCAGGAGTGACTGGAGACGCACCGATTCCGGGATTTCGAGAGGTAATGGAGCACTCGCCACCAATGGGATGGCCGAAACAAGAGGGAGGATTGGCCGAGGCGCTGTCGAATCTCGCACAGCGGTTTTCATAGGAGCGCCAGACGGACTTGCAAAAGGAGACGGTTGCTTGACGGGAGCTGTAGGGATTGCTTGTCGCATGGAAGCAGAGATCTGGTCGAGGGTGAGCGTTTGGAGAGGGCGCGGGCTCGGCGATGCATTTGTTGCCGCGGTAGTTGGGGCCGGTCCGCCATTCACCCCTACGACTGGGAGCTTTGTTGCTGATACTGGCGATGCATTTGGTGGCTTGGTGACTTTTGGTCGCCCTCGTCGACTCACAGTTGTTGCAGATGCTGGTTTTGCGCTGGCCCGTAGACTCGTGCGATCCCAAGCGTCTTCCTCGAGGTTGGCCTTCGCATCGTCCGCCTCAAAGTTGTACTTTGGCGGCGCTCGTGCATTGACCGTGGCTCTGCAAGGGCGATGGCCTGCTGGCTGAGTGGCTGCGATGGACTGGTCCACGATCGCAGCCGCGCGCGGCGTTCGCGAGAAGGCTGCCTCCTGAGGCTGCGTATGCCCCTTGGCCCGCGGGGACGGCTTCTTGTGGCCAGACTTGGTGGTCTTGGTTGGAGACTTGATCGCAGGAGCGGCGGCAGCAGCAGTTTGCAGAGGAAGTCCATTTTCGCTCGAGACTGGCTGGTTCACAAGAGGCTGCTGCTGCTGCTGCTCCTGCTGTTGCGAGGCTTCTCTACCAAGCAGATAATCAACAGTGGCATCTGCGATAGACACGACGACGTGCGAGTCGGCCGCGGTTGGTGCTTCGGTTGCCGCTTGGTGGTTGGGCATTGGGGCGAAATTGGCGGGAAGCACAGCTTCAGTTTTGGCGGGAAATGCATTGGCTGCTGCTGGGCTCGTGTCGTCCACTGCAGCAGCGGACGCCATCTGCTCGACTTCCACGCCGCCCAACATGGATGTGGGAGAGAGGGAGCCGATTTTGGCAAAACTGGAATGGTTGTGGGATCGGTGGACCCAGCGTGTAAGGGTAGAGGGGGAGAAGAGAAACGAGGAGAAAATCACCTCAGACGTAAAAGGGACAAAACGACAATAAAATGAGAAGTGGTTGCTCAGACCACGAGAGGACGACTCCAAGGGTTCACGGTGTTGTTCAGAGATTGGGGAAAAACAAAATGAATGGTGAATTGGTGAGTTGGTTTGGTTTGCGACGCGACTGACTTTCAAACGACTCGCCACTCTCACTCGCTCTCTCTGGTGACAAAAATTTCGAGCTGGACTCGATAGCTGAGCCGTTTTACCAATAACTTGCACTCTGTGGTTCTATTCTTGTTTTGGACTTCAAACTCACTCCACTTTTTGTGCTTTTGTTGGTTCTTTCAATTTTGTTTCAAGTTTCAGGGTCGGTTGGCTTTATTGTTGTTGTTGTTGTTGTTAGTTGTTGTTCGTCGGTTGATCTATTTGATGCATGCACACAACACGCACACATGCTCGACACACAGTCTGCCGCTGTGGTGCGCAGCAAAGCACAGCGAATGGGATGAACGCTGAAACATGGCGATCGAGAAACCGCCCCCATTCGCTTGCCCCTCGTTTCTCGATCGCCCGAGGCTCAGGCACCAGCGTTGCCCGCTACAGCAGCTTGATCCATCTTGGTTCAACTTGATTCAGCGTGTTCCGCTTGACCCAGCTTGCGTAGACGTTGGGGATGGTCGAGGGTGCAAAGCTGGGTCTGCCGCTCAAATTCGCCGAACGCCGCTGTGTCGCGGAGTCTTGTGGCACGGGCGATGAGCAAGACACAAAAGTCTCCTCAAGAGTCGACTGCATCACCCTGGACTGACGGAGGGGAGGTTGAGGATGAGGGGGAGCGGGCGGCGCGTTTCGGCTTACTTCGTTGACGGATCCGAATTGTTGTAGATGGCTAATGCACGTACACCGCGGCAGCATGAGCTGTTATAACTAGCAAAGTCTCACCAAGAGTCGACGGCACCACCCTGGACTGACGGAGTGGAGGTTGAGGATGAGGGGGAGCGGGCGGCGCGTTTCGGCTTACTTTGTTGACGGATCCAAATGGTTGTAGATGGCTAATGCACGTACACCGCGGCAGCATGAGCTGTTTCAAAAAGCAAAGTCTACCATTTGGGTCAAGTCAGTATCGTTCAATATCGAGGCGTGGTCGTTGCTGCGCGCTGACTTGCTTGGCGGCGGTTTTTTGGTTTAGCATGTCGAAGCTTGGGATCACCGACGAAGATGCTGTGGTGATTGCCGAGGGTCTCAAGGAGAATCTCAATTTGCAGGCGCTTATGTAAGGCAGTAGCAAGGAAGGGGAGTTATTCAAGACGAGAGATCTGACATGGATTGTCAAACAGGTTGGAGGGCAACCAGATTGGCGACGTGGGAGCACAAGCGATCGGATCTGCACTCCGGCACACGCCGAAGCTGTTTATCTTATTGTATGTACTGATAGTGTCACAGGGGCTATTTCTCACACGAGTCTCACTTGTGCGCTTTGATAAAGCTTGGGCGAGAACAAGATTGGGGACATTGGCGCCAGAGCCATCGGCGAAGGCATGCAGATGTTGCGTGCGCTGGGTGACTTGAGGTACTGTGGTCGCTCGTTTGAACGTTTTGACGCATCTCCAGCTTCGCTCAAGAACGACTTGGTACTGATGTTTGGCTGAGATAGGATCAACGCCAATCAAATTGGTGACGCGGGAGCTCAGGCGATCGGAGCTGCACTTCGGAACAAGGCCGGGTTGTCTATCCTCTGGTCCGTTCTGGTTCTATCATAGGGACTGTTGGTTACACGGCTCTGACATGATCAACTTGATGCAGCTTGGAAAAGAACAAGATTGGCGACGTTGGAGCTCGTGCCATCGCCGAAGGCCTACAGACGTCGAAGATACTGGGTGCGCTCAGGTATTGAGGTCGCACGATTGACATTTGGTTGCATCACCAGCTTCGCTCAAGAATGGCTTGCTGTTGATGTTTGTCTGAGTTAGGATCAACGCCAATCAAATTGGCGACGCGGGTGCACAGGCGATCGGATTGGCGCTTCGAAACAAGTCGAGCCTGGCCTTCCTCGAGTACGTTCAGGTGGTATCGCAGGGTTTATTGGTCACGCTTGTCTAATTGACCGATTTTGATACAGACTGGGCACTAACAAAATTGGTGACACCGGAGCCCGTGCCATTGCTGAGGGACTGAAGAAGTCGCCTGCGTTGACTCGTCTCCTGTATTGTAGTCGCCCGTTTGACCTTTGGTCACATCGCTATCTCCGCTAAAGAGTGACCTACTTCTGATTCTTGCGTGACTTAGGATGGATAAGAATCAAATTGGCGACGCGGGAGCACAGGCCATTGGATCTGCGCTTCGGAACAAGGCGAAACTGGCAACTCTCCAGTGCGTTCTGGTGTCATCATATTGTTATGATCAGAGATCCTTCCACGAAGATACGAGTAATGGGTTGATGATGAGAGTGATGATAGGGAAACAAGAGACTTCACTTATACAAAGCGACGAGTGAACACACTCCAAATACAGATACACATCAATCCATAACACTCCGCCTTTCTTTCCCCCCCTTTCGAGTGCAACTTGATACAGTTTGAGCAGTAACAAGATTGGTGATACCGGAGCTCGTGCCATCGCTGAAAGCCTGCGGACGTCGGCTGAGTTGACTGAGCTCAGGTATAGAAGTCGCACGTTTGGCCATTGGTCGCATGTCCACCTCCGCTAAAGAGTGGTCTTCTTCTGATGATTGCCTGATCTAGGATGCACACCAATCAAATCGGTGACGCGGGTGCACAAGCGATCGGATCTGCTCTTTTGAACAAGGTCCTGTCCCGCCTCGAGTACGTCCTGGTGATGTGGCGGAGGCTATTGGTCGCACGGCTCTCACTTGTGCAACTTGATGCAGCCTGGCGAAGAACAAGATTGGTGACGCTGGCGCTAGTGCCATCGCTGACGGCCTGCAGATGTTGCGTGCGCTGGCTCACCTCGAGTACGGCAGTCGCACGTCGTTTGATCTTTGGTTGCATCACGAGCTTCGCTCAAAAATGGCTTTCTTTCATGCTTGTCTGACGTAGGATGAACAACAATCATATCGGCAACGTGGGCGCACAGGCGATCGGATCCGCGCTTCGGAACAAGGCAGACCTGTCTATCGTCGAGTATGCTCTGGTGGTTTAAAGTGTCTCTTAAGCGCGCGTCTCTCATGTACCCGTTTTGATACAGCTTGGGCAGCAACAAGATTGGTGACGCTGGAGCTTGTGCCATCGCTGACGGCCTGCGGTCGTCGACTGCATTGCTGACACTCGGGTATTGTTTTCGCACGTTTGAGCTTAATTGCATGTCCAGTTTTGCTCAATAATGGCGTGATACGGATGACTGTCTGAGTTAGGATGCACGCCAATCAGATTGGTGACATGGGAGCCCAGGCGATCGGATCTGCGCTTCGGAACAAAGCAAACCTTTCTGTACTTCTGTACGTTTTGTAGCTGTCACAGAGGCTATTAGTCACACGGCTCTCACATGATCGATGTGATATAGTATGGGCAGTAACAAGATTGGTGATGCCGGAGCCTGCGCCATCGCCGAAGGCCTGCAGACGTCGACTGCGTTGACTGACTTCAAGTACGATGGTCGCAAGTTTGGCCTTTGGGTGGCATCTCCAACTTTGCTCAAATTTGACTTGCTGCTGGTGTTTGTATAACACAGGATGCACGTCAATCAGATTGGTGACACGGGAGCACTGGCGATTGAATCGTCGCTTCGGAACAAGCCGCTGCTGGCCATCCTCCAGTATGTTTGTGTGCTGTCGAGCGTCTCTTGGGCGGTTGGGTCTGATTGAGCCCGTCCGATACAGCGGCTTGAGCGAACCAACATTGTGCATCTGTTGAAATCTTACCTTGTACGCGTCCGTGCTTGCAATAGTCTGTCCCGCAACCAGATCTCTGCAAGTGCTGTTCAGCGTCTATCCCAAAGCATTCCCGCAGATTGCGAGTTCTTGTGAGTTGCACTTGTTGTTTGGGTGGGTGTTTGTGAGACTTCATTGTCGTTCTGACTTGCTTCATTTTCCAGGGCGGAAAATCAGAGCATCATTCCCCCGAGTCCAGGCCCCGTCGCACCCACACCCGCTCCGCTATTCAATGCTGCCAGCGCGCCTCTCGCGGCGTCCGATTCGATGGCTCGGCAAGTTGGTCAACAACTCCAATCGCGTCAAGTGGAACCAGCTCAGCCCTCGTCCGCTGCACCCATCAACGCCACCATTCCGCGAGTGTCGTTGCAAGTTCTGTCGCAAGCCACAATGCAGTTTTCAGAGTCCAGGCGCATCGGTGGCGGTGGATTTGGCAGCGTCTACTCTGCTGTCTGGAGCGGTCGGCAAGTTGCGGTCAAACGCTTGGCGGCCAATTCAACCCAAGGCATCGCTCAGTTCGAGTCAGAGCTAGAATCTCTCTCGCGTTTCCATCACCCGAACATTGTCACCATCATGTGCTATGCCCAGGAAGGCAACGAGCGCTGCTTGGTCTACGAGCTGATGGCAAACGGATCTGTTCGCGATCGTCTTGATCGCAAGGGTGGCACGCCTGCATTGAACTGGGCTCAACGCCGAACCATTGCAACCGATATTGCAACCGCCATGCACTTTGTCCAGACTGCCATTCCGCGGCAGCCGCTGTTCCACCTGGATCTCAAAACGAGCAACGTGTTGCTGGATGCTGACTTTCACGCCAAAGTCGCCGATTTTGGGCTGACGCGCTCTGTGCCAGCTCAAGTCGATGAACACAGCTACATTCGTACGCAAACGGTTCAAGGCACACTGCAGTACATCTGCCCGCAGTACCACCAGGAAGGCAAGGTCTCGATCAAAACGGACGTGTACTCGTACGGCATGATTCTGCTTGAGCTAGTTACTGGACAGCAGCCCAGCATCGACCTGCTCGCCAACGTTCGACGCGAGCTGAAAAGGAGCCGTAAAATTGATGCGGTGCTGGACAAGGCAATTGATTGGAGCCTTCATGACAAGGAGGCGGCACAAGTCATGGCGGGCGAGCTTGCGGTTGATTGCCTTGAGCAAGCACGAGTTGATCGACCGTCGTTCGGCGAGATCCTGAGACTATTGTCGGGCGAAGAAGCCGGAGCGAACGAGGACGACGCTATCGAGCGTGAGTGCTTGATCTGTTGCGACGCGCCGACCAATGCCAAATTGATGCCGTGCTGCCACGCATGCGTCTGTGTTGCGTGTGCTCAAGTGATGATCCAGCGCCACGACAACTGCCCGATTTGTCGGGTGCTTCTGACCTCATTCCAGGAGGGCGCATTCAACCAGACCTTTGTTCCGTGAGCTGCTCTTGGTGTTTGATGTTTGAGTGTATGTTGCGTTGCATGTTAATTCAGGCTGTTTTGGATGGCTCGTACTTGTATCAATGAAAATGTGTTACTGCTACTGTACTCTTGCGAGAACAGGCCATACAAAATATGCAGCTGTTTGGAAATGGCAACTCTACTCCTTCGTAACAAGTGAAACAATGATGCCGCAAAATACATTGGGGGTGCACAATGACGCTGGGATGAAGAAACACCACAAATTATGTGCCATATCGCACACGGTAGAGCGTGGGTGGGAAGGACTCCATGACGGCGAGCCACGGTCGCTCCACAACCACCATCGATGAGGCATCCAGAAAGTCAAAGAAGAGCAGCGGTTTGTACTTGTCAACCAGTTGCAATCCGCCATTGTCTGTCTCGGCGGAGCTCGACAAACCAGCGGCCAATACAGAGGCAGCCATCGTGTTAGAAACATCCATGGACTCAGCATTGGCGGAGCCATTGGTACCAGGCAGGGCGGCAGCAGCAGCTGGACCTTTGTTTGCCTTCTTTTGCTGCTTCATGTTCTGTTCCACCACCACCACCATTTTCGGCAAACCGCGCAAATCGTCAATGCTAAGACACGATCATCCACAACGACCAGCGAGAAAGTTCACGCTTACCCGACTAACATCGACGACGCAGAAGAGCGCATGGGACTGCAGAATAACCTTGGAAGAGTTGCGAGGATCGAACGTAATGTGCACAATCTTCTCGCGACGACGCAGCCAGTGGTATGGGAAGCCAGAGTCGGTGTTTTTGCGCGACCAGTCCGTCAGTCGCTTTCGTTCCACGTCGAACGCGTAGAGTTGGTTGCCAACGGTGGCAACGTAGAGATGTGATGGGTTTCCGGGGTTGAAGGCCAACACGGTGTGCTGGGAATCAAACTGGGGAAGCAACGCGTGGTGCTGGAATCCGTCCAAGGAGAAGACATGGATGCGGTTGCGCAGATCGCCTGAGGCGAGCCATTGTCCGTCAGCACTGGCAGCGAGTGTAAAAATAGGGGTGATGGGATCCGCCTCATCTTCTGCGTGTAAAGATCAAAAAGTGTTCCAAAAAAGTGAGGAACAAGGCATCGACAACCATAGTTGAAGCGGCAGCACCAAAAAATCCAAACCAACTAAAACAAAATGCAACCACATACCGATAACGCCGTCATCACCAGCAAGGTGCTGGGAGAATGTGCGAACGAGCTGCATCGACTCGAGATCCACAATTTGAATATTAGCATTGCGAGCAGCAATAATGAGCTTGGAGCCATCCGGCGTGAACAACAGACGGTGTGCAGGAAGGACTTCCTCGGGCAGGTTCTTAACGCGGCGGACTTGAACAATGTTCGCATTGAACTATGGCCAAAGGCATTGCAAAAGTCAGCACCAATGGTTCGGCCAAAGTGGCTCGACAGTCGCAAATTGCAAGCATACATCAATGTTCGTCCGAAGCAGTTTGGTGCCAAACAAGTCGCTATAAGCAATAAACTCGCCAGTTGGCGCGAGGGCACTCGCAACAAGGTTGAAGGCGCTCTAAACAGACCAGACAAACAGAATGCCAAGTCAGGGCCCTGACACAGACACAACAACAGTCCGCGACAAGCTAGACGTTTGATCTAGATGCAAAGCGCGGTTGGAATACCTTTGGTTGGATTTCGAGCAATTGAACCGCATTGGAAGCGATTGGGAGCTGTGGTACATCCGTTGCAGAATCAAGAATGTGGTCGCGGTCGGCTGAATGGGATGCAAAATAGCAAGCAGTCGTGAGAAAAAAGCCTTAAAAAAAGCCCAGCGCACAGAAAAACACAAACCGGCTTGCGTTGACGACACACCTTCGCCGAGACGCCATAGTTGCAGTTTGGAGGAGTGCTGGCACAGCATGATCTTGAGAGCAGGAGCGATAGAGATAACAGGGGTGTGGGGGAACGGGGGCAGGCGAACGTGGCGCACGGTTTCAAAGTTCGCCGACGAGTAGACAATCAGGTTGGTGTCGACACCAGCCGAGACGAGAATGTCAAAGGGCGCCGGGGCAAGGGCTAGAGCACGAATGTCGTGAGTATGGGCTCGTGACTTGCCAGCGGAAACCCACTTGCCCTTCGGACGGCGAAGGGCCGACCCGCTCAGATCGTCCGGAGCCGATGCGGCCGGAACCAGCGACGTCTGCATGGCGCCGATAGCGAACGGATCGGAGGTTGCTGCACCGGGTGCCATTGGCTGGTTGACGACAAAGCGGAACTGAGCAAGCTTGTTGTCGACGCCAGACGTGTACACGGTATCTTCGGCAGCATTGACGGCAAGACAGAGAACATCGGCAGAGTGGCTGCGGAATCGATGCAACAAGGTGCCAAACTGGCCATTCCAGAATTGTGTATGGCCGAGCGAGTCGCCCGAAACGATCGTGCCGTCCGACATGACGCGTACGGCCCAGACCAGCGTGCGCTCGTTCTGCGTTTCCACGCTGATGCGCAAAGCGGTGCGCCCAGAGGCCACCGTAATGCGGCGAATGGTGCTATCCGATCCACCAGTCACGATGCTGAGATCGTCAGGATGCCAAGCGACACTGAGAATGCGACCTGTTGGTTTTTTGTGGTTTTTTGTTTGACTATCCGGTGAGTGTAACGTATGATCGTCATCATCATCATCATCATCATCATGATCATCATCATCATCATCATCATCATCATCATCATCATCATTGTCGTCACATGGCATTCACGAATGTCGACCACGTTTACCATCATGCTTGTCGGAGAAGCAGCGTGAATACTCGAGCGCGCCATGCGAGACGTCAAACAGGCGAACAAAGCCGTCTTCGCACGCGGCGGCAAGCATGGTGCGGGCGTGGTTGAGTGCGATGCAACAAATGGCGCCACCGAACGAGTCGACGGTGCG